GTGGAGGTGCTTTCGGCAGGCTCGGTGATGTAGTTGCGGTCTCGAGCTCGCTTTCGACGGGGGCTGAGCGGTCTTTTCGGGGTCGACGCTCTGGAGCGTAGCAAAGGGCCCTGCGGGTTCCGCTTGGTGGCAGGGGACTCTCTCCGGTGGTTCTCCTGCTTTTTGGCGGTCGCGGAGTAAAGGCTTCTGGGTCTTGTCCCCGTTGTTGTTCTGGTGTTGTGTCCTCGTGCGTCCTGTGGGGGTCTCGTTGTGCTGGCGGTCGCCTCTGTGGAGTCCCCCGACCGCAGCATCATGAGGCAGGACAAGGCTTGTCCCCCATTCATGGCTGCATGCCTGTGGAAAACGCACCCAGGATCATCTGGACGGTGGCCCCCGGATAAACAATGTAGGCAGACTTCTCCTTCCTGCTTTGATATCGCTGTACTCGCCGATCAGACCGGTGAAGGTGAAGCGTAGAGAGACAAAGTCACCCATGGGCTCGATGGCATCACAGGCTCCTATCTTTCCGGGGGCCCGCCTGATCTAGTGCGGCCGCGGACGAAGGGCCTCCAAGCCACCTCAGCTCAAGCACACGTCCACCCCAAATGACTTGAGCCGAAATGGCTTGAGCCAAAATGGTTTCTCGCACTCGTTCTCTCGCTTTCTTTCTTTCGCCGGGGCTGTTTGCTTGCTTGCTTGCTTGCAGCGCTGCTGAAGTCCGTGTCAGGTTAAGTCGGCCAGGGCTGTCTCTCTCTGTCTCTCTGGGCCACACTCTCGCTCTCTCTTTCTCGCTCTCTTTTCGGCCGGGTCTGTGATGCGCTGCGACATGCTGCATGTCACAAGCCAGCCGTTCAAATTCCGTAGGCTACAGCCTGCAACTCAGCGTCTCCCGTTCAAGCGAAGCCTCCATCGCACCGATCGCACCACTGCACCCGTCGCGGACTGGCATCACGCGGTCAATGGCAAATGTTCACACCTTAGCTGTAGCTAGCTACACGCTGACCGGCCATCGGGCAGTGCAACGGCAGCTTAAGAAATAATGCCACAAGGCCACAAAGCATGAAAAGCTTTCTGCAGCCAAATCTCAGGCACGTTGGCGGTAGCAGTTGCCCCCTTGTCGGAGTCCAGCGCTTTCGAACAAGCAAGCAAACAGACCGGCGAAGTAACCTCCGTGAAGCATCCATTTCCACTTCGTCGCTGCCATCGTTCCGTGTGGCGCAGGCAATTCACACATGGTGGCGCCGAGCAAGGACAACTAGCTCACAAGCATCCGAGCTGTCGGTCGTCGCAGCGTCGCTTGAATCTCGACGTCAGCAGCACCAAGGCGCGTGGTGCTGAAGCATGAGCAGGTCTCGTCAGAATCTGCAGCTGCCGAGCGCACAACTTGGCAGATCCTTTCAGAGGCACAAGCGTATCCACAGATCAGCACAGGAGACTCGGTGGTCACAGCCGGCTTTGGGGATCAGGCTGCAAGCCATTGTCTCAGCACAACGGTGTCGTCGACAGTACTATCCATAATCGCAATCGTCCAGGCCGGGTTCAAGGCTTTGTCGTCAGTGCCCTATGCGCCAGACCACACGCCGAAGGTGTCGTGCATGTGCTTCACTGAATAAGCAAAACTGAGAACCTAGGTATCTGCTCAAACCAGAACCTACGTGTTCCAAGCGTCTCTTGAATCTAGTGTGCATATCTCACACAGCCCGCAGAAAGTCCTCATACATGCAACTGAGTGCTGCTACCAACCTTACTATGCCGCCGCGTCACAAGATCAAAACCTGGCCAAAACCAGTCAATGGGCTTCTCAAGTCAAAGCAAAGAAACTCGAAAGTGAAAGCATTTGCGAACACTGCAATTCTGATTCTGACACGCTGCAGCACCCACAATGCAGTGTAAAGGGGCGTGCGCTCCTCCGTTGCTGGTGTGATTCCCACTTCTGATAGCGGAACTGCCTTCGAGTTGTCAGCACTCGATGACCTGCGCCATCCCGCCCCGAACGGTTTGCCCTACGGTGACAGCTTTCTAGCTCGCTGTGGACCACAAGGTGATATTGCTAGACATTGAAACGGAGGTTCTCTGAAACAGTGGTCTGTTTTAGGGTGTTGCGTTTGAGGCTTGACAGTTCAACGGCTATTCGGGTTTGGTGGTTTATTTGCAACGAAGGGGCCTGGGGCTTCTTCCCAACGCTTGTACAAAGTCTTTCGGCTTGTCCACACATCTTTGTTCACGGCCAATGTCATGAAAAACGAAAGGGGTGAATGTGCTATCACGGAGCTGAGACACGGACAAGTTGGGAAGTGGGAGAGTGAGCCATCGAGAATCAAGGGTTCCTTGAGCGAGTGGGCGAGAGAGCCCACGTCGCCTGTCCGTCATAGGACAGTCAATGCAAAGAAACAGTGTGGCAGTTCGCGCAACACGGCCGCCCCCCGCGACCTGACCGGCATCAGGCTGCAGGCTGCCTTAGCTGCCGGCACTCCGAGTCGTAGAAACAACGGCCAACAACACATCCATAGCTCCACCTCCCCAAAGTGGTGCGAAAACCTCAAACACCCAAATCGCAGCAAAATGCTGAAAACAAATCTTCGCAGTGCGAAGAGTTCAACAAGCCAAATCGAAAAATGCGCCCCAAATTCTCCGTCCCCAAAATGAGTGACCCAGATCCAAATCGCGAATACAACACAAACCCAATCGAAAAAAAACGAAAACTGCGTCCATCATTCCCCCTTGCCCAGAAGAATCGATAGTGAAAGCAAACACCCACGTCGCAAAAAGGCAAACACCACTCCAATACTTCCCCTGTTCCAACAGTGTCGAAAATCCAGAGCACACCAATCGAAAAAATCGAAGAAACGTGAACCTGTAATTCCCCCTCCTCAAAATGAGTCGACTGTGACAGGCTCAAAAACTTACCGAAAAAGTTGAAGCACGCCCGTAGTTCCACCCTACCCGGAACGAGTGCGAGAAACCCAAACACCTAACCGAAAAAATCGGATAGCGCGAATGTATTTCCCCCTCCCAAACATGAGCCGACACTCGAAGCGCACAGAAATGCTAAAATACTGCCATAATTGAGCCATAATTCCGACTGTGGCTTTTGTTACAATCGTCAAAGAGAGGGAAGAATTATGAGAGCTTCGTTTAGATTTCTGGTCACGATCTGCGTGCTCATCTTTTCACCATATTTGGGGCAGGGGGAATAGTGAGCAGTTTGTTTGCTGGTGTGTTTCTGCTTTTTAATAATCGTTACGAAAAAATGATGTGCATTCTTTTATTTTGTGCTCGCGAGTAGATTTCTGAGCTTTTCACAGTCGACTCATGTTGGGATGGATGACGGAATTATGGGCGCATCGATTGAATTTGAAATTGCCGTCGTGAGTTTGGTTTTTCACCTTGGTTTTGGAGAGGAGGGAATTTCTGGGCGTGTGTCTCCGTTTTGGGTGCTTGAGCTGGTCACTGTCGACTCAACTTGGAGAGGGTGATTCTTGATGTAGTTTTAGATTGTTGCGATTTAGGCGTTGAGTTGCTCACAGTCGACTAAAATTGGAGAGGGGCCAATGATGGTCGGATGTTGTGTTCGGGGTGTGGTCACAATGGTTTAGGAGAAATGTGAATTCTGTACGTGGTTCTACATTTTCGCGTCATTGTTCGCGATTAGGTGTTTGAGCTTTTCACAGTTGACTCATGTTGGGGAGGAGCCAATGATCCGCCCCTGCCCCTCCCGCCGATACCACGAAAGAACCGACACAGTTTTCCCTCCAACCCCCCGTCGCCCCACTTTTTCGGAAAAAGCAAACAATTTAACAAACCATGAAAAACAAGACTGTACTTCTCGCCTCCCCCCTCCACCACGAACAAAACCAAACACCCAATTCCATGAAGAAATACCGGCGCTCCGCTCCCCCGCCTCCGAAAAAAAAAGCCACAGTTTCCCCCTCC